GCCCTTTCTTTCCCGGAGCCGTGGATCCTATTGACCCAATATTCAACCAATGAGCAATTTCAACTACAAAGTAAGTGGAGGCAATGTAACTAAGATAAGAACCTAGTAGGGAAGGGGGTGGTGGCATCTCGTCCTTTGATGACTTTGGAGCCCTCAATTTCTCTTCATTGGCGGCCTTCTTCATGTAATACTCCATCATTGCTATTGGATCACCAGGTGTTGGTAGTGCTGCAGAAGTTCTGGTGGAAGAATCTGACGTTTCATACAAAGCTGATGCTGGGATTTGATAATTAGACTTATCTTGATATGACCTTCGGGAACTGCTGCCTCCTGAATTAGAAGTGGATGATCTTGTGCCACCTGTTCACATCAAGGAATAATACTACAACAGTTCAAATCATTTCAAGAACATATGTTTCTTTAGGAACATTTTCTTATATTTTTTCTAGATAATCAGCAAATTAAACCATTCAATCATTATAGCAAGTTAGCAACACTAATGGCAAGAGTTGTACAGGATAGTAGTTCACAAACCACTTTGAGGAGATTGAGGATCTCTGGATTTTGACAAAGCCTTTTCCTCTTCACCAAGCCGATATTCATAGTACTTATAATCTAGACAGCTTTCATCAAATAAGAACCTACAAGAGGCACACTAGTTTAGATCGTAGGCCTGTAAACATGGCACGTAAGGGAGTAATAAAAGATATTACCTCCGTCCCAAATTATTTTGCAAAGTCAACATTTTTTGTCAACCAATTTCATCATTTCATTTTCATTTACCCCAGTGCCGCAAAGGCTCCCACCTACGGTGGGGTAAGGGGGGGTCGGATGTACATTAATCCTCTTTATTGATAATTAATTCAATTTTAATCAGGGTTTTTGTCTTGAATATAACTCATAAAAGGGCAATAGGCAAAAAAGTGACCGTTTTTAAAAATTCCCGAAATGTGACTAATAAGTGACAGGCTTGCTTATATACACACTGCTATAGTGACACGCTACAGTGACACGAGACACAGTGACATCCACCCTACTTGCCACCACCTCCCACCGGTGATCACCGCCGCCGCCGGAGACCGTCGTCGGCCATAGTTACAACGCCACAGTGACAGTAGTGACAGCCACCCAACCTTTGACCACAGTCCCACAGTGATGCCGCCGCAGTGATGCCGCCGTAGTGATGACGCCGCAGTGACGCCGCCGCGGTGACATGCCAACTCCGGCAATAGTGACCCATCTAGCCTGCCGGAAAATTTTCCTTTCTAAGAAACTGCCGCCGTCGACTGGCGGTGCTCGAACAGCGACTCCGCCAGCCCCTCCCTGATCCACCAGACCCCCTCCCCATCCCACCAGCACCATCCCCAGCCCCCAGCCTCTCTGCACAATTGCAGCCCAACACCACACCACAACGTAGCCCTTCAACCAGCCCACCTCCGTGCCGCCGCCGCCCCAGCTCCGGCCACCACCCCTACCTGTTACCCCCACCCTTGTCACTGTCCAAATAGCCCCAAGCCCCCAACAGCCCCTCCCTGCACCCACCAAAGCCCATCATGACCATACATCCCCCGGCCAAACCAAACCAACATCGTCCTTACGCCAACTCCTTGCCATCTGCCACTCCTCCAGGCCCCACCCTAGCCTAATTAGTTCCACAGAAGAATAGCTCCAGATCTGCTCTCAAATCCAACAGGATTTACGAAGCTACTCGCCAGATTTAAGAAGCTCGCCGCCACCGGTGGAGGATGAAGTTCGTCAACAGATTCACGAAGCTCACCGCCGCGACTGGAGGATGAAGTTTCCACCGAATCTATGAAGTTCGTTGCCGCCGATGGAGCAAGCAACGTTGGTTTGCAGACTAAAAGAAAAGAGGAGAGGAAGAGAGGAGTAGCCGTCAGTCTTCGTAGGTGCTGCCCCCGGCGATTGGATTTGAGAGCACCGGCGATTGGATTTGGGAGCAGAGAGCTGCTCGCCAAATGATTGGGATTTGGGGGAGACCGGTGGTTTTTTTAATTCTTAAGCTCACTTTTTTGTCCATATGAAATTCAATCATATTTTTTTCCATCTAAAGTCCATGAGTCATATTTGGGCCATTCTTTCTTTTAATAATTAAATTTACATATTCAGAAACTACATTACAATCTCCATAAAGTTGTGAAACCCAAATTAAAATTTAGTTACGAATTGATATCCTAAATTAAGTGGGAAAAAATGAATCCGTTTGGCCCAAAAAAGTCAACTTTGCAACTTAATTTAGGAGAGTGAGTATAACATAAAACAAAACAATACATAGGAAAAATTTATTAATATACCGACCCTGTAAATTTGGAGAACAGTAAAATACAATACTACTCCACGTCTCCACCACAAATGTCAGGTTTGGATTGAAGAACATTTAAGCATTACACTTATGAGACAAACCAGATATGTAAAGCAAAGAACATGAAGAGAAGATACATGTAATTCAGAGGAAGAAGAAGAAAGTGCAATCCCTGATTTAGTAACTCTTCTACACACTAATACTCAATTTAGTCCTCAACTTATTTAGGTGTCAATATGGTTATTTACAAAAATACATGCACCCAAATTTGACCATCATACAAATACAAATTTGCTATTAAATGACAGATATTGTTGTCAGTTCAGTAGCATGACCCAATTTAGAACTCATGTGGATCCCCAAATTATGTCATTTGAACACAGACTCTCAGATTTGTGTTCAAGTTACAAAAAAATCATTATTGTTCAGACGGAAATATGCATGCTGACCAAATTCTGTCTAAATTGCATAGTACATAGTACAAGACAAAATTAAGTCCAAAAGAATGTTGAGGACCAAGTTGGAGGTGCGTACTTAAAGGGAGTGTCACCGGGATTTTTTTGACGGGTAACATTTTCAAACTGCCTTCCATTCTTGGCCACAAAACTTGCCAATTTGTCTGCAACTTTCTTCACTGTCGGATCACTTGGTGGAGGAGGTGCTGCTACTGCATGTTACTTAAAGAACTGATTAATTACCATGAGCATGAATGAACAAGTGTATGTGTAAAATACACTTTGTAGCAGCGTGCCACACTTTATTTTTTCCAAATCTTTCATTGGACATCTCTTTTCCCACGAATGATGTCAGACTTAAGTTATAAGCTGCATTCATCAGACAAAATTCAAAGAATAATAATTCAAAAATGTTTTACCCTCTCCTATAACCATCACCCAAGAAATAGAAACGCCAACGAAAATACTCATATACCAATCCTCCAAATCTGTTTATCTCAATATGATAGTGAAGTCTGACTTAATACTTCATCTATCCCATAAAGTTCGGGGAAAGGAAAAGTGGCACACAAATTAAGGAAGTTGAATTGTATGGTGGACTGGCTGATACTAATATTCATAAAGGATTGGCGATTTTGAACATGATTGAAGCCATATATCGTATTAGTTAAAATTTTGGGACGGCCAAAATGGGAAGATGGGAAGAACGGGCTTTGTTTTTGGATTTGTCCCCAAATTATTGCTTATTTCCTTTAAAACAAATCAGCATTTGGTTCACAATATTTGTACAACTACAACAATATTTCTCTCCTAAAAACATCTCGACCACATTATTCTCTTTATTAAACTCCATGGGCAGTCAAAGTGGCAATAATTTGGGGGTGGAGGTAGTAATACTTTTCATTTTCAACATTAGCATATAACACAAAGCATTTTGGAAGGGACTTCTTATGATGCATACTAAATGAATGAGTATTGAACATTGTAATAATCTATCAAAAGTATAAAGTGTCTGCTACAAAATTCTAGACAACAATTTGTTTCAATTTCTGGGTATTAAAACTATAAAGAATCAAGAAACTGTCTTTCAAAAAACTGGCCTTTTACGTTGCATTAGTTATTAAGACTCATATCATTCTAAAGTAATTAGCTTATGCTATTAAAAACAATGGTTCTTTTCTGGAGTCAAAACTATTAAAATTCAAGAAATCCTTTGGAAAAAAGTCGCTCTTTGGATGATTTAGTTATTAGTTTATTACTACTCTAGTTACAATAGTTTAAGGTTAGGCTGAAGTGCGGAATTCCAGAAATTGAAAAGTTGTGGAAAGCCATTAGCCCATCAATAATGAAGAAAGATTCATCCCTCTCAATGGATGAGATAACATGGCTAAGATTCAAGTATTCATTAAAAAAATTATCATTACCAACAACAGATTGCTTAGATGATTGCACAGAAACAATGGGCTCATCCAGCTTTTGCCGTTTTACTGCCACACCTCCAGAAGGATTTGCTGCATCTTTTTCATCTTCATCCTCATCTTCATCCAGCTTAACAGGAGGTGTCACAATTTTAGACTTCTGTTTCAAGCTGAATGCAAGTTTTCCACCGGAACCAGAAGGGGTGGGTTTCCTAGGCTCATTCCCCTTTATTGTAAAGTTTGTTTTACTAATCACAATCTTTGGAGTTGAATTTCCGGACAGGTTTGAAGTTGCATTTGAAGCCTTTGATTCAATAGCAGTATTACCCTTCTCTTGCTCAAGCTGTTTAAACCTCTCCATGAACGAACCATCATTAACAAAGAGGCTAGGATCTTTTGCTTTCTCCATTGGCAAAACTACAGCTTTGATTTTCTGATCACCGTAAGATTCAACTGCTTGGCAGGCACTAAAAGGATATTTAGGGACAGAACCACATATCTTTTCGGAGAATCAAACTAATCCAAATTCCAAACCCCCCACAAAAAATAACAATAATAAAGAATTATAAACCTACTCCTTAAAACTAGAGATCAACCAAAAATATTTAAGGGCTATGATGCAGAGACACGCCAAACCTGGTGCGAAACCGAGAGTCAGACAAAAATGGCACGATTCGGAATAGCCGGGATGCAACGGGGGATACGCACAGGCTTCGTTGTGGTAGAAATTTTCCCCGGCGGTAACGAGACGATGATCAGTGGTTGTAGCCTGGATTAGATGTAAAGCAGACGGAATTGATGGAGGCGACGACAGGTATGCTCCACACTCGACACGGTGATCTGATGCTCAGATCTGCTTCGGACTTCGGGAAAGATTCTTGTTTTGCGATCTTCTAGGCAATAATGGGAAGGTGGCGACTAGGGTTGCTTTGGATTTCTTTCATCTCGACACCATCTGCATCCTAGTTCTAGTATGGGTATTCCTATGAATTTCCTGCAATTCCGAGTCCATGATAAAACCTATGTACCCTCTAATATCAGCCTTATACTCACCATGTTTATGAAGTGTTTTTTGTCTGTGAATCCGATTCACAGATAATATTTTGCACAAACAAAATATTGTTTGTGAACCAGGGTTCGTAGACAAAAAAAAACTCTACAAACGTAGATGGTACAAAAGTAGGTATAAGAGTGGGTACAAAAATCATTCTTGTAAAACTTACTCCATACTTTCAAATAGGGGTGGGAAAAACCGAACCGAAACCCGGAAACCGACCCTAGACTGACCCGAATTATGACCCCGATCCGGGTTTTTTCTTTTTAACCGGCCCGAATTAAAAATACCCGGACCGAACCCGAAATTTCGGTCTCATTAACGGGCCTTAAAATCTATAATCCGACCCGGACCGAAAAAACCCGAAACAATTAGCTTTAATATAAAATTAATATAATATATAAGTATAAATTTATAAATATTTCCTAATATATATGATTATAATCACGGTGAATAAAAAAATCATTTAGTAACTTTTACTCTTTTAGTGACTACAAATATGTTCAATTTGTTTAGCATAATGACCATGAAAAATAGATTTATAGGAACTCTATTCACATTTTTATCTATAAATTTTATTTCGAAATATTTTTAAGAAACATATATTATTTATTTATATGCATCTTAAATAAAATATTAAGATAATTATCTTCTTTGGATTTAAATGTTGGTGATTTTGAAGACTAATATTTGTGTTATTATTTGCGGTTTGTATTTTTCATTAATTTTATTTGAAAATAGGTGTTAAAATATAAAAGAACAATGAGATAGTTCACGTTCGGGCTTTAACCGGCCCAACCCGAACCCGGACCGAACCCGGGCTACCAAAAACCCGACTCGGACCGAATATGACGGACTTTGTTCCGGTCCCTAATTTTCATAACCCGAGACCTTCCGGGTAATTTCCGGGTTTAGCAAAAACCCGACCCAGACCGGACCGATTCCACCCCTACTTTCAAATGGGTTGGGCATGCAGTGTAAAATAGTGAGTATTGTGTCGTTGAGAGTTGTGCAGAAGAGAGAGAAATGTTTATGAAATGTTGTGAAGCACAAATTATTTATCAAAAAGGGAAAGTAGAAGTTTTAATTGGGACGAACGGAAAAAGAAAGTTGGAAGTTTATTTAGGGACAGAGAGAGTTAAATTTTTGAATGAGGTATTCTCTCCGTATTTAAGGGAGAATAGTTAGGGAAATGAATAATATAGAAAAAGTAGGAGAGAAGATTAAAAAGTATTCCGTAGGAAAGATGGGATAAAAAGTAAAAAAAAAAAAACATTGAGGGTAATTGAGTGTTTTTAAAGGAAAAACTTACCAAAAAGAGAAAGTGTATGAAACTTTTAAATACATTTCAAAATGGAATGTGTATGAAACTTTAAAATACGGAGAGGGTATAGAATATGACTCGTAGAATCTAAGGACTTTAATAGAAATCCATTAATTCAAAATGTGTAAATTATCGTAAAATTTATGAAAATTTGAGTACTAGTGATCGAGTTTTGATAATAAAAAAAAACTATCGATCCACAACTCAAATCTGAAAATAAATACTAAGTTTTTTTTGAATTAATGTTAATTAATTAATTATTTACAAAAATAATGCTGGAAAAAAAGTTATTACCGATCTACTGTTGGCCTTAACCATGGTCAGGGGTAAGTCACCCAACGGTTGGACGACTTATAAGTCGCCAAACGGTTTGGCGACTGATAAGTCGCCCAACCGTTAGGCGACTTACCCCTTGTATATGATTGAAGACCAGCAGGTACTGCCAGCCAGGCACGATTGTGCCTGCAAGGGTAAGCACGATCGTGCCTAATTCCGAAAACAGAATTTCAGCAGGTTTTTTGCCCCAGTTCAATTATTATTGCCTTAGGAATAATAATAATAATAACTCAATAGGAATAATGACAAAAATAAGATCTTTAATTTTTTATTAGATTAAAGTAGGACCAAATTTGGGGACAAAAAAAAATTGAAATCATATGAAGTGTCTAAAATGATCTAAAACTAATTCTTTTGTTGGTTTCGTTGGATCTGGATTCTGAGAGCAGGGAACTGTGGTGGCATTGATCTCCTTACTTCGAAGATTACCTCCGTGTCACCCCTCGCTGTCCAAGTCGCTGCTCTGCCTCGCTTCCAGGCTGATGCTCCGCCCTCTGTTCAAACTGCTATTGCGCCTCATTGTTCTAATCTTCTAGACTGTCGTCGGACACTCGCAATTGAAGCACTTGGTTAGGCTCCCATCGTAGTTAACCTCAAGGTGATCTTTCTTGAATTTTGAAAAAGTGCGTATCTATAGGAGTATCTTTCAAATCATTTCATTGGTTTTGATCATGGAAATTTCTTCCACTTGGTCATCTCTCCTCTTCCTTCAGTCACATTGTTGTGTAGGTGGGCTCGGTTTGAACCACTTTTCATGTCAGGACCTATAAAAACGGACCTCCGTATGGACCTCGACGTTTGGGACCCTTCCCGGTGGAATTTTTTTATGAAACTTTTTGGGCATGTTTTTCATGAAGTCTAGTTTATCCATACCAAATTTCAGCTAAAAATTCCATCGGGAAGGCAGTCAAATGATTTTCGGAAGTTAACTGCGCAGAGTATATATATCTAAACTATACACGTATACTCCTAAATCCTAATGCGCTTTTAAATAATAATAATAAGAATACTTATTTGACCCAATTAACTGATCTGGGTATCTGATTATCTCTTAAAAAAATAACATTAAAAGTATTTTCTATTTTAATATAAACTGGTTAAGCTTTAAAACATTACTTATTTCTCCACTTAAAATTATGGGAAATTATCATTGACCCCCCTGAAGTTTGATGCATTATCAATCACACCCCTATACTATAAAAAATATACTCTTACCCCCCTCTAGATCCTTTAATGATGGTTAAATAACTCTTAATCTATATTTAGAGAAAATTATAAATATAATTTCATAATTTTTCTATGAGTCTGCTTTTAATATTGTAATTCTATTCAGCCACAAATCTGGTCGGGTAATTAATAAATTTGTCCATATTAAAGACCTTTCTATTGGAAGTCGAACCAAATAAAAAAATGACCAAAACTGACCTTACTCTAGGTAGTTCGTTTTATGCATTTCAATTTGTAAAGTGAGTAAATTTACTCAATAGAAAATGATCAAGATATGCTAAATTTGACAAAAATTGAAACAAATGAACATAAATAAACCAAACCGACTCAAAAGTGAAGTTTCCTACTCGATTTAACCATTAAAAATTGAACGCAAGAAAATTCCCAATTTAGACACTCTTTGTTATCACTGAAAATCAGATCACTATATATAGGTATAATAATAACTTCTAGATTTAAATATTTGACAAAATATGAACACGTTTACATGTAAATTAAAATATTAGTACAGACATTATAGTTTAGGACGGGTTCCACACCCAAATTGGTTAGTGCTAAATAATTAGGGCGGCCCGTGGCCTTATCTTCAGTTCCAATCCCCTAATTGGTCTAGGTTCGATCCCAATATTTTTTTAATTATCTATATTTCTACTTTTAAATGGAATATAGCCCATTTTAAAGTGTTCTCAATGATTTTAATAAAAAAAATGAACAGGGTCAAAACATGGACTCCAATCCCGATCCCATAAAGTGAGGCCTGAGGCCTTTTTTTCACCGGTCTGGTCTCGATCCCGATCTAAAATTAAAAATAAAAAAGAAATAAAACTAATTTAAATATATAAATGTTTAAATTAATTTTTTAATGGTCATTTTACGTCTGAAAAGTTAATTGCAAATTTTTACCTAGTTACTAACATTTTATTTCAAACCACTAATGAAAGCGGTTAGTTAAAAAGCTAATTTAATCCGCTATTATCAATTTGCTGATTCAACCGAGTATGAGCTAGCAACAACTATTATCAAACACGGTCGTTAACATTTTTAGACCTCCACTTTTGATGACAAAATCAAAGTAAAAGGCAACAAATGTCAATTTCACAATACTTAAAATATGAAATGTCAGGAATTCTAAAGTCGAGGACAAAAGTTTATTACTTACAAAAAATTGACCAAAGTAAGCATTTCTAAAACAAATTTCCAATAGGTAACAATATAGTCTCCTAAAAGTCCTTCACCAACATCTGTTTTAGGTATAAAATAACTCTGCTCATTATTTGGCATTTTTCCCTCGTTACAAAAGTTTCACCAAGATTTCTACAATCTCAGATATATTTTCAAACTTTTAAAAGTATTAGAGATTTATTGTTTTAAGCTTGTACCTTTCGATTGTGTCTGCTACTAGTCCTATAATTTTACTCACATGTAGATGTAGTTATGCACCTAATAAATTTGTCAATAATAAGGATTATTTCATCATAAAGTACGCGTTCCCACGACAAAAGTATGTTCTGGTGGAAAGATTCTTAATACAGATAAATTTATTTATAATCAGATTAAATCTACAAGTGAGTAAATTTATAAAACTAAATTCATACTCTTGCTAAACGTAATTAAGAGTTAATACACTTTCATTAAAGGATAGGGAGGGGGTAACTGCATATTTTCAATAGTGCAGGGGCCTAAATGATAATACATGAAACCTCAAGGGAGGTTAATGATAATTTCCCTAAAATTATTAGAGCTTACCAGTCAATGTTACCTGCCAGAACAACACATGATCAAACAATAAATCAGATTATTCATAAAATAAACTTATTTAACTGACGAAATAAAATAAAAGATTAATGCAACTAGATCGCTAAAATCGGGGTGTTACAATTCTACTTGAGAAATACACTCTCCACGATTTTTGGTCAGGTGTACGTTTTTATCTAATGGCGTCTTTGCCTCTTGATAATCATCCTTATTAAATTTATTAAGGATTTTATCAACGTAATGGGATTGACTTAGCGTCAGACCGTCAGGTCCTCTAATTATTTTAGTCCCAAGGATTAAATCGGCCAGCCCCATATCCTTCATCTCAAATTTAGAATTTAACATGTTTTTGGTAGAATTGATCATTAGATTATTGCTACCCACAATGAGTATAGCATCCATGTATGAACATAAAATGACATAGCCGTCTACCGTGCGAGACAATTTTAGTGCGACGGATGGAAAAGGAAAAATGGGACAATTATAGTGGGACGGAAGGAGTAGAACTTTTTCCATTTTTGGTCGCCCGCCTATTGTGTAAGTTACACTTTTGGTACTCGATTTTTAATTTTTCCATTTTTAGTCCTCGACTTCAAAGTTTCCCACGTTTAGTCCCCTGAGTATTATCAAGTTGACACTTTTAGTCCTTCCACTGTGATTTTGACACAATAAGTGGAAGACTAAAAATGTCACAAATATAATAGTTGAAGGACCAAAAGTGCCACTGCATTGTATGAAAGTCATAGGACTAAATATGAAAATTTTCAAAGACGGATACCACAAGCGTCTCTAACATAATAGTTGAAGACTAAAGTGAAAAAAATCAAAGTCGAGTATCAAAAGTGTCCATGACATAATAGTCAGATGATCAAAAGTGGCAAAAACTCTTGATATATACTCATAATTGTTTAGACGGGGGTGATAGGGTATATGAGTCTGGACCCACGACCTACAAACTCTTGGACATATGAACAGCCCAAACCGGCACCAGCACCAGAAGGCCCAACAAGAGAACCCAGTCCATCAACAATAGCTTGGCCACGGTTGACTGACTGCTGAGCCGAAGAAGAAACTCACTGCCAGACCCTTTGGTTCCTCTAAGTCCACAGCGACCAACAGCCCCAAACAAGCTGCGCGAGATCCGTCTTCTTCTTGCTCCAGAACTCCTCATAAAACTGATCCAAGAGAGCCATCCCTTCCACTGATCTCCACTGCCACCGAAGCTCTGCCCACAAATCCTTCGCAACCGGACATAGTCTGAACAAGTGTTCAAGTAACTCCGGTGCCGCTCCACATAACCCGCAAAGCCCCGAACAATCCACTCTGCGTACCTGCAAATTAAGTCTCGAGGGAAGGCAACCGCCACAAACCTGCCAAAAAAATATTTTAATTTTAGGTGGAATATTAAACTCCCACATAGTAGTCCAGATCATCCCCGGCTGAATATCCAGCTCCCCCACCAATCGCCTGTAACACATTTGGACCGAGAATTGTCCGCTTTCCTCCCATCTCCAGCAAATCGAATCCGCTATATGAGACCTCTTTAATGGAATTCCCTTTATGAGCATTGCGCCCCTTTCGTAAAAATGTCATCAATGATATCTCTGTCCCATTCACGACGATTTGTGCAGAAAATATTAGCCACTACTGCCTCCTTCAATAACTCAAATTTTTCTTAAGTAATCCTGGGATTCTCCTTATTCGGTAGCCAAGGCTCCTCCCAAATATTTATAGAATGCCCATCCCCTACCCTCCAATAATACCCTCACGTATAATATCTTGTGTATGAAGCATACTTCGCCAAATAAAAGACAGATTAATTCCAGGTTTTGCTGACAAGAAACTCCCTCTAGGGTAATATCGAGCTCGAAAACTCTTGCCACAAGCGAGTCAGGATTAGTAAAAATTCTCCAAGCCTGCTTAGCCAGCATAGCAATATTAAAATCCTGAAATCTTCGAAAACCCAACCCGCCTGCTTTTTAAGGAACGCATAGGACTGCCCAATCCTTCCAATGGATTCCCTTACCCGCCTTACCTTTCCACCAATATCCATTCATAATATTTTCAATTTCACGACACAGGTCAACAGGTAAAAGGAAAACGTTCATGGAATATGTAAAACTTCCCTCCCTGCTGTAGATAAAAATTTATTATTCCAGTTATTAATGTGGTTAACTATTCTCTGTCTGAGGTAGTTTAAAATATTTTTCCGGTTCCGCCCTACTAGATCTGGTAACCCCAAATATTTCTCATTCTCCCCTGTCAGACCAACTCTTAGAGCTAAAGAACACCTTCGATTTATTAAAATTAATTACCTGGCAAGATGCTTCCTCATAGTCAGCTAGGATCCATTTCACCAAGGAAGCCTCGTCATGGCTAGCTCGGAAAAACAGCAGGCTATCATCTGCAAAAAGAAGGTGTGAAGCCATAGGAGCCTTTCGAGCAATAGAGACTTCATGCAACCGGCCCACTGACTCATATCTGCGAAACAAAGCACTAAGCCCTTCTGCCACGAGAAGGAATAGATAAGGAGAGAGTAGATCCCCTTGCCTTAATCCCCTCCCCGGCGTTGACAGATCAATCATCCCATCATCAAATGGAATAGAGTAAGAAACGGATGTTACACATTCCATAACCAACCCTATCCAATTATCATGAAAGCCCAAATTTCTCATCATCCCTTCCAAAAAAGGCCATTCGACCCGGTCATAGGCCTTACTCATATCAAGTTTAAGCCCAACAAAGCCAACCTTCCACTGGCGTTTGCATTTTAAAAAGTGTTGAGATTTGAAGGCCAGCATTATATTATCAACAATATATCTACCCGGGATAAAGGCACTTTGTTGTTCAGAGATGCACAAATGAAGAATATTTTTCATGCAATTAGCCAGCTTTTTGGAGAAAATTTTATATATCACATTACAAAGAGCAATAGGTCTCCGGTCGCAAATATTTTCGGGATTATCCATTTTGGGAATAAGCACAATATGAGTATGATTAATGTGATTCGGGAGCTTACCTATCTTAAAAGCTAAGTATGTTTGCAAAAGTTGACAATGTCTGGCTCCACAACATCCAAAAATGTTGGTAAAAACCCGGACTAAACCCATCCGGCCCTGGGGATTTATCCGGAAGCATATCAAAAGCGGCCTTTTTAACCTCCTCACTACATACCGGACCGAGAAGTCCAATATTGTGCTGATCTTCCAGCCGGCGCTGAACACACCCAAAGACAAAGTCGCTCTACCATTCCCTGTTGTAAAAATATTATCAAAATATTCCCCAACTAATCTGCCAACTTCTACTCTGTCACTTTCCCATCGCCCATCCGCAAGTCGAAGTGTTTCCATTTTATTCCGCCTCCGCTTGCTCTTAAAAGAATTATGGAAGAAGCACGTATTCAGGTCCCCAGTCTGTAGCCAAAATTCCTTGGCCCCTTGTCTCTAGCACACATTTTCCTTTTCAAGCAAGTCAAAATATTCCCTTTTCAATTTATTAAATTCACAAATTAAAAAACTTCCCAGGGATCCCAACGGCGCCAAAGAAATGCAAGTTTCTTCCTGCAAAAAGAAATTCGCTTACCATATGATCCCGCCTTATTATGACCCCACCCGCCCAGCTACATACGAGCCACAATTTCTCTACAATCCATCTCACTCAGCTAGACGTTTTCAAATTAAAAATTACGTCTCCTCTGGAAGCTCTGAGTAGAAATGAGTTTAATGAAAAGAGCCATATGGTCACTAGGAGCCCCTCAAGTGATTCAGCAACTGCCTCCCCAAAAATATCAAGCCAGTTTTCTGAGACAAGAATTCTATCATGTTTTTCCTCAACCCAATTCTGAGTCCCTCTCTAGCGTTCCCAGGTAAATTGATATCCATTAAAGGAAAAATTTCTATTAAATCATTAAAGTCTCCCATACCAAGCCACGACATATCAATGCAAAGAGTATCTATTTATTAAAACACAAAGAGTATATATTAATTCACTTACAGGTTTCAATCCGCAAAGTGGACCCACTCACATATTTTAGCTATCAAATGAATTAATAAATATTATGTTGTGGAAAAGATTCATTAACTTGGGCAATAAGAAAAACATAAAACTATATTTCAGGTACATGAAGTTTCTTTTAATTTTAGATCTAAGTACAGTATATTTTAGGTCTATTGTTATAATACAAAACTTAAATATTAATTTGAGTACGATGCTATAGTACGTTATTCTAGTGTAATTAAACTGTGGACTTTTAGGCGTTACTATATTTTCTCCACAATGAGTGCTTTTAGGGTCAAATAGGCCCTCGTCTAATGAATTTGGAGGCCTCGGTTCCAAATGTAAAATTGGGGCCCCACTTTATTATAAAATGTTAAAAAAAACTCAATTCAAATATTTATACTTAATTTAATTGAATACTTATTTAATAATGTAATAATTTTATCATCTAAAACTTATTTAGTTCTTTATTTAAAGTAACACACCTCATTATTCAAGCAATTTGAGTAAATGAGAACTAAAGGACCAAAGAAAAAAAATGATAGATCTATATTTTTCTTCCTTACAAATTGTACTTTACTGATTATTATTAATATGTAATACTAATAAATTTTTAAAATTTGGGGCCCCATAAATCTGGAGGCCCTGTTCCAGAGAACCTAATTAACCCCCTAAAAAACGGCCCTGTATGCCCTCGAACTAGCTTAAAAAGTGTAAATCACTCCTTATATAGGAAGCTCTGTCCGGCCGCATCAATTGGGGTGGTTCTCGGTGGAATTTTTTGATAAAATTTTTTGAGCATCTTCTTCATTAAGTCTAGTTTACCCATACCAAATTTCAGATAAAAATTCAACCGGTAAGACAGTCAAATGATTTTCTGAAATGTACTACGTTGTTAAACTGCGCAGTTATCTACAAAAATTCATTTGACTGCCTTCCCGATTGAATTATTAGCTGAAATTTGGTATGAGTACACTAGATTTAATGAAGAAGATGCTCAAAAAGTTTCGTCAAAAACTTCCACCGGGAACCGCCCCAATTGACGGCGGCTGACAGAGCCTTATACATAAGCTAAGAGGATCGAGATTTGTACTTTTTAAGTTAGTTCGAGGGCCTATTTGACCCTTTAGTCTTACTTATATGTAGACGAACTAATTAATATTACTAAGAAGACATGTTTTCATAAGAACATCCAAATATATAACAAACCATTATAAATTAATGTATTATAAATTTATTTTTTTAAAAATATTGTTAAATTCCTGTACTGTTAAATTTTTAAAATCTAATTTTTTTGATTCTTTTACTAATAAAGAATGAAAGATAGTAATGATCAAACTTGTGCGTTGATAAACGTGAAAGCTGATCGCAGAAGTTCCCAGGCGAGCCTCATCAGTAGACACTAGACATGGCATCATCTACCGACAAAAATACTCCGTTTCCGGCGCACGATGACCTCTCTCCGTTCCATTCGCCATCACGTTATGACGTGTTGCTCCACGTAATCATCTACTCATGCACTCCTATAAAACCCAATCAAGGCCGCTCCCATTTTCAAGATCGAAACACATACACAACAACCTAGTATAGATACCTAGTTCTCGTCGACCATGACTGTCGAATCTCTTTTCTCGTCGTCAACTCTGACCCCTCTTGCCGGCGACAATGACGCCGGAGCCCTCCGGTTGATCGAAGAGTTGACCAGAAACGCCGACTCCGTGCAGGAGAAGATTCTGGCGGAAATACTTAGCCGGAACGGCGAGACGGAGTACCTCCGACAGTTCAAGCTGGACGGTTCTACGGACCGGAAAAAGTTCAAGTCAATGGTTCCTGTGGTCGGGTACGATGATCTGGAACCGTACATCCGACGTATAGCCAACGAGGATTTCTCTCCTATTCTCCCATCCCACTGATACGTTTGTAATTTCCGTGTGTTTATTTACATTTTTAGTTAGTTTTGGTTGTTTAGTATTTCGGAAATTACACACTTTCGGTGTAATAGTTTAGTTTGTTAAATTCTTGTAAATTGTTTAGATTAGGTTTATTCTGAGCTCAAGCAGGTCTAACATCACTCAAGGACAGTTGGTGAACCCCAAAAGTGGAAGGAAGGTGCAAAATCACAAGACAAAAGAAGGAAATCCTGATTTTTGTCTATACTCGGTCGAGTATCTCCTATACTCGATCGAGTATCTGGTTGAAATTTCAAATCGGATCGGATCCGAAAACAAAGGAACATGCAGAAGAAGATTTCCCCACGATCGAGTGTCTATACCCGATCGGGTACACCGACATACTCGATCGGGTATAGCTATGAATTCTACTCTAAATTCGATCGAGTATGGATCAAATTCAGCTTTCTACACATACTCGATCGAGTACATATATATACTCGATCGAGTACCCGACCTGCACCCCAAAAAAAGCCTATAAATACACCTCCTTTCCTTCACAATAGATTCACCAATTCACATATACTTCTTAGCTCAGTTTAGACAAGTTCTTTCTTTATATTTTTCATCATGTTTAGTCTCCAAATGAGGAGCTAAACTCTTCTATCTTGGTTTTGCTACTTTGAAGCTTAATGATTTGTAAGTTGTGAGTTATTTTCTTTAATCTTCTTCCTTGAATATTAATTACTTCCTATTCTTATTCCATATTAATATATTGAGCATTACTTAAGGTATCAACTAGTCTTGTCTTATATATTAATTATTACTAGAATCGGTCGGTTAATACGCTTGTTATTAATCCGGTCCTTTCATGGTAGTAAACTTGGGTTATTAATGCATGCTTCTCATGGTTAATAAGCCAAGAGGAATTAATTATATTGATTAAACCAATAAACCGCTTGTGTTGAGGTTATCAATCTCAATCGTTTTCATCTTGATTTTATTGCTACTATCAAGTTAATATACGGCGCTTGTTCTATATTGACTCAGTAGTAAGTTTTATTAATGAACGCTTCTCGTTATTAATAACTACCCTCGATGAACTGGATATACTCCTCGATTGAGTATTCGAGAGGAAGATAGTTAAAGATATAACCGGGATCGATGAATATTTCATTAAGTGGATAAAAGCAAAACCAAGTCCTCTTCTCATTAATTAAACCACATAACTCGTTCATCTTTGTGTTTTAGTATTCTAAAAAAGTTCTTCAACAACAAATCTAAAACCTCCCTTTATTACTAGTTATAAAAAGAGAAGTATTCTTTTCCCTGCGGATACGAACCTTACTACGCTATACTACGTATAAGTGTTGTATTGTATTATTTATTTTGAGTGCAACTCACGACAAGTGCACGTCACCCACCCTATCTCCGAGTTCCTCACTAGGTTCGCAATCGATCTATAATTAATTTTAGAGAAAATGAATTTTAATACCACTTCTTTTCAAAATAACCATAGTTTAACATGTGTTTTTAGAAGTAATTATGCATAACTTATGAAAAGCATAGTTTTTTAATACATTCTTTTCCCAAAAAAATGTTACAATTAATTAATACCACTGTCCGAAAATGAGGAAAGTGAGACCGCAGGGGGAGTATATGAATAATTAAGTTTACCCTTATACAAAGACTATTATATAATAATATATAAGCTCTCACGTAGAGAAAATGGAATAATAATATAATTAATGCCTATTAATTAATATATATTTACAAGTCCGGAAGGTAAGCTAAGGCGTAAGGAATATACAGCATGCATTCGAAACTTGTAACTTTAACTTTCACATTTGTCAACATTTTACTATTAACATACTTCAATAGTTCAATACTACATATTTATAGTAAAGATTACTCCGATCCGTTTAAAAAAGTACGAAGTAATAGTTTGAAAATACAACATGGTAGAAATACACGGAGTAATATATATGGAGTAGCATTTATAGTAATATGATTTGAACAGTGCAAACTTAAACGTGTTTTGATTAATAAAGAACGATTTTTTGGATAGACCATACTGTTAAAGGTAGAAACAGAATATCATATGAATGAACTCTTGACCATACAATAATAATAGATATTTTTTTTGAAGTATTAATCATACATAGTTTTTTTTGAAGAATCATAGATAGTTAATTTCCACCATAATAGTAGTACGTTCTATGGACTAAAATACTTTGTTCGTCTCAAGTTGATTTTAAGTTTTACGTTTTAAGGTTGACTGACGATAAAATTAAATATTTCATGAAAATAATTAAATTAGTTTGAATAATTGAAATTCACACATATTCAAAAGTAGTAGTCCCAACTCCCAAGGGTGCAAAAATCAAATTAAAAATAATAAAAATTAATTACCAAAAAGTTAATAAATTAAATCCGACTTGACCAAGAAAAGTGAATATGCAAACCATTTTAAACATGTGGTTGACTAATACGTACTACATAGTATGAAATATACAGTTCTGGGACATCGGCCGGAGAAAGAAAGTTAATGCCTACAATTGCTGAGGAAATGAACCGCAGGCAGATGTTGTACGATCTTCTCATGCAAGAATGAGTCACTGAGTTTCTTAATTGAAATGCTCCCTTTGTCTAAATATGCACGCGCGTTTTCAAATAATTTTCTATCTATTTGGGTACTATTAAAGATGTTGCATTTAAAAAAAACGGAGGCCAAAGAACATGAGTAGTGATTGTGCGGCTTGTTCTTGAATTGGTCACGTGTGGAAAAAGTCCGATGTTCATTTAAAAGAGAACGGAGGGAGTATTAAATACGGAGTAATAAAACACCATATAAAATTTTGAACTGCTTCTTTTATTAGGTTGGCCTTTTAAAATGAAACCCCGGATCTTTATATAGTATCATAGTCCGATTGTGGTTTAATTTGACTGTTTGTTTAGCACTCATGATTGAGGGTAACTTGTTAAAGATTTGTTCGACTAATTTATACACCTCAATATTGTCCAGTTCGGTTCGGGTTGAGAAGGCGTCTTAAAGTATTTTTGCCACACTGGGAAGCTATTAAATAATAAAATACTGTATAAGACTTTACGTTAATCGTCCTATTAGAATATAATAATGACTTTTTAGGATGAAACCTCCAATTCTGAAAGTCATTTCTTTAATTTGGAGAGAAATGATTATATGATTCCTAGTTATTACCAGTATTCATTCTCGAAATTAAAAAGTAGAAGAATATTCTAGGACCGGAGTAACTGCAGTTTGACAATCATCACCTCTTTATTAAAGTTTTCAGGAAATGGCTTACCTTTAATATACGTATGTACAAAGTTACATTTTTGTATTTTATAATAATTGTAATAATATTGTTGATGACCATAGGTATGTGCCTGGGCTTGACAAAGGGAAGGCACTGTACTTTCTATTTACCAAGGTAGGAACCAAGACTCCAGGAGGATTACTTGCACGTCCGGTCTTGACAAGCTACTACAACAGCGACCAATTCAAGAACAAGCCGCACAATCCCTACACGGATTGCACAAGTCCTATAGAAGCCATCCTATGTGTGGATTCTTTCCAAAGCATGTACGCTCAAATGCTTTGCGGCTTGCTAATGCGTGACCAAGTGCTTCGTGTTGGCGCGGTCTTCGCTTCTGGCCTCCTTCGAGCCATCCGCTTTCTCCAGGTCTATTGGAGAGAACTAGCCCATGATATCTCGTCGGGAACGTTGAGCTCCGAAATCATTGACCTTTCCATTAGAAATAGCATCGACAAGATCCTTAGGCCGAACACGGTGCTCGCTCGGCTCATCATCGAGGAGTGTCATGGCGAGAATTGGGAAGGCATTATCAAACGGATTTGGCCCAACGCCAAATATCTTGAGGTGATTGTCACAGGCGCAATGGCTCAATATATCCACACTCTTGATTATTATAGCGGCGGATTGCCAAAGGCTTCTGTCATGTATGCCTCATCTGAATGCTACTTTGGCCTCAATCTGAATCCCATGTGTGAGCCTGCTGATGTTTCATACACCATCATGCCCAACATGGGATATTTTGAGTTCCTTCCACATGACTCTTCAGACCCCGTGCATGAAGCACGGGGTCAACATCTTCAACTGATCGATTTGGTTGACGTACAGCTTGGGAAAGAATACGAGCTCGTGATCACCACCTACAGTGGATTGTGTCGTTACCGCGTAGGAGACATACTTCAGGTCTCGGGATTCCACAACTCGGCCCCAATGTTCAAATTTGTGAGGAGAAAAAATGTGCTACTCAGCATCGATTCTGACAAAACAGATGAGGCAGAGCTGCAAGGCGCTATAAACAGTGCCACGTCTCTCTTGCATGAATACGAGACGAGGCTTGTGGAGTACACTAGCTATGCAGATACCAACGACATCCCGGGTCACTATGTGGTGTATTGGGAATTGGAGAGCAAAAATCTCTCCAAGTACCCAAGGGACGATGTTTTGAACAAGTGTTGCCTCGCGATGGAGGAGTCAATGAATACAGTGTATAGACAGTGTAGAGTGTCAGATAACTCAATAGGGCCACTTGAAATAAGGGTGGTGAAACCGGGAACATTTGAAGAGGTAATGGACTTGGCCATATCAAGGGGAGCTTCGATCAACCAATACAAGACTCCTAGGTGTGTCAATGTGATGCCCATAGTTGAGCTTCTCAACTCAAGGGTGGTGTCAACTCATTTTAGCCCATCTCCCCCACAATGGACTCTGAACGTCGGATTTGAATGAGTCTCGGATTTGTGTATATACATGTAATGTATAAAAATAAAAACCAATATAGTACTTGGGTTAATATCAAGTTCTTAATACCTACAGTACTGTTTAGCTAGCTATAAATAAGCCAATCATGCTAAGGCTTTGTTTGCAAACAATTAATTTAATTGCTTTTGGCTTTTTTTAAGAAAAAAACACTTATTTTACCAAACAATACCAACTTTTACTTTCTCGGTTTTCGTGTAGAATCTACTTTTTACTTTTACCCAATTACACAAAAAACACTTATTTTACCAAACACTGTCAACTTTTACTACTAATCACTTTTTCCCAAAAAGTGTTTTTATTTAAGCACAATCACTTGCAAACAGAGCCTAAACAATGATGATGATGATGATATCCGACAATACTGCTCACATGGGAATGTCCAAGTAACACGAAGTGGAACTTAGAAGGTGTTCTCTTCGCCTGATCTGAATGTTTCTGATCTGAATTTTTTAAGTTCTGATCTGATCTGATCTGAATTTTTCTGATCTGATCTGATCTGAATCTTTCTGATCTGATCTGATCTGATCTGAATCTTTCTGATCTGATCTGATCTGAATGTTTCTGATCTGATCTGAATCTTTCTGAGCTGATCTGATTTGAATGTTTCTATGATTATAATTATGATTATAATTATAATTATAATTATTATAATTGCAATTACAAATATAATTTAAATAAAATTATAATTATAATCGTAACTATAATAATAATAATAATAATAATTAAAATTAAATTTAAAATGAAAAAATTTATACCTATTACACTAATTATAAATATAGATATAATTATAACTATAATTATATTTTTTAATTATAATTACTTATATAATTATAATTGTAATTATAATTACAATATTTATCTCTATAATTGTAACTATAGTTATCAATATTATTATAATTACTCCGTAAAATAATTAAAATAGTAATAATTATAATAATTATTATTATAATAAAAATAATAATTATAATCATAAATTATAATTATAATATAATTAGAAGTATAATTATTATTATTATAATTATAATTAATAATAATTATAATTATAATAAAATTAATTATAATATTATAATATAATAATATAATTATAATTATTATAATTATAATTAATAATAATTATAATTATATTATAATTAATTATAATATTATAATATAATAATAGTACTATAAATACAATTAATATTATCATAACGATATTATTATATTAATATTATTATTACAATATATTAATAATAATACGATTATTATTATTATTAGTATTATATTATTATAATATTATATTATAATTATAATTATAATCATAATTATAATTATGATTGTAATTATAATTATAATTATTATAATTATAATAATTACAATTGATTATACTTATAATTATAAGAATTATAATTGTAATTATAATTATAATTACATATAATTATAATATAATATTATAATAATATTAATCATATTATTATTATTATATTGTAATAATAATAATAATAATAGTCTTCTTAATAATTGCATTTATATTACTATTATTATATTAAAATATTATTAATATTAATCATATTATTATTATATTGTAATAATAATAATAACTATTATTAATATCTTATTTCTTTATCATATTATTATTAATATATTAATAATAATTATATAATAATAATAATCATAATAGTAATAACAATATTAATAATAATAATTAATATAATAATAAAAGTGATAAATCATGTTTGAACTTTTCTGATCTGATCTGAATGTTTCTGATCTGATCTGAATCTTTCTGATCTGATCTGAATCTTTCTGATCTGATCTGATCTGATCTGATCTGAATCTTTGTGATCTGATCTGATCTGATCTGATCTGAATCTTTCTGATCTGATCTGATCTGATCTGATCTGAATTTTTCTGATCTGATCTGATCTGATCTGAATAAAATAAGAATAAGCAATAAGTAATAAGAATAAGACGAACAGAACAGCACCTTACTATATGTATGCTAGCTAACCTCATGTGAGGGCTAGCTAGTCGTGTTTGCTGGAAGCTAGACATATCATTTTCGATGTCTTAAAGTGAAATATTTCGTTTTTAGTAACTAGTTACCGCTTTAAATGTTTCCTTTTAAAATCCGTTCAAAAAAAATGTTTCCTTTTAAAATCAAATAAATTATTGTTTCCCCTTTTGCTCTTGAAAATAAATGTTTCCTACCTTTTTAATAAAAATAAATGTTTCCCCTTTAATCATACCCTATCTAGCTTGTGGATCCGTTCAGGGCTGTTCCTAGCAATTTTTTGGCCCGAGTCGAATTTTGGTAAAAGGCCCTTGAATAATGTAAAATTTGGATATTAAGATTTGTAAGCACTAATTTAATTTATATGCCTACATCAAATAATTAATCCCACATAGTTCCATGATATTATTTTGATTAATATTACTTGTATTGCTGTTATCTTAATAAAATAGAAAAAAAAATTGTATATACATAACACTAGAATTCAATTATTCATGGACCCATTAATTAACCAAATTTTTGGGGCCTGAGGCAATTGCCTCTTGCCTCAAGAGAGGGTTCGGCCCTGGATCCGTTCTTCATTTTCCACTGTTTTGTGTATGTATAAACGAAGTGCGCAGTCTATAATATAAACTGTAGTCAGTGTATTCATGCCTTCATGGAGGAAAAGACGGAAATATGGGACTTTTACGTCTGACATGCCAAAATATGAAAATGCCAATTAGGGTACGAGAAATACATGTTTAACCCTCATTTATAGGATAAATGATGGGAGGAAGAATGTTAGGTCAAAGTTTTGGTGCAAAATAGAACACATATACTATCCTCCGTTTTTTTAATCGCAACATGTTGAAATTTACACTATTCACATGTTCTACTTTGACTACATTTTACGGTATAATTTTACGAAAATTATTTTTTTTAAAAAAATATTGTTAAATTCACCTCATTACAAATTTTCAAAATCTGATTTTTAATTATTTTTTACTAATAGAGATTAAGATATAATTACGGTCAAAGACGTGCGTTGCCAAGTGTGAAATGTTGATCGTTGCAACTAAAAAAGAACGGAGGAAGTATAAATACTGTAGTTGGACCCAAATTTTTGGCTTTTACTCTAGTTGGAAATGGCAATTCCAAGTACATGTATTTATTAGAATTTAGTTTTAATATAGTGCTTGAGTGGCCCGTGGATCCAAGAAATCTGCACAATGAAAGGGGAAGAAAGAGAGTTGTTTGGCAGAATTATTTGAGGGCACTCTAGACATTTCAAAACATTCTAATTAGTTTTTTGTCCTTCGTACGATTCTGTCCTACTTTTGCCCAACATAAACTTACAAGTCTTACTTTTGCCACTTTTGAGTTTGATGTGCAAAAATACGAGAATTCAATATATGGTATAAAAAAGATATTACCCTAAATAGGATTGAAACCCTAGAAAAGTTCCAAAATAGGAGTTTTCTTTAATTTATTCCCCAAATATGAGTAAATTAAGTTGTTTTCTGGTTTTGCCCTTCTCTCTCATCGTTGGCACCATCCCCTATCCCCATATCTTCGTTTCTCTCCTCCCTCTCTCCTCTCTCCTCTCTCCTTCTACATCCCCTCTCTCCTTCCACATCCCCTCTCTCGCATCATTCATAATAAATCCAGATCTCATACTCCATTTTTTCTTCTCTTCAATAATAACTTCAATTTAATTATGCAAATTCCGAATTTTTTAATCTCCGGCGATTTTCAGTGATACGGGTGATGAATTTTTTGTTCATTTTCGGCCACCAGTGGGTGGTGAGCTGCGGTGGTCGAGTGGCAACAAACGGTGAACGGCCACTAGTGGACAACGATTAATGGATTCTCCTCCTCCTCCTCCACCATCTCTATTTGTTTTTTTGAAACCACACCATCTCTATTTGTTATTTGCCAAATTTTTAGTTTCTTTTATTTCGAGATTATTATTTATTTATTTTCAATGTATTGTTTTATTTTTTTAGTATTTTTTAATATGAAATTGGCATAAGTGTTATTATTTTCCCTATTAAATTTAATGTATTGAAAATTAATTTCAGAATTGTTTCATTTTTATGTGATTACCTTTACAATATATGTTTGATGGATAGTGTACCCGGGGGTAGCTTATCCGAGGGGTTATTGCGGGGAATAATTAGAGAAAAGTCAGAGCAAACAAGTAAGAGAGAGAGAGAATCGGATATATTAATGAAATCTGTCCTTTACAAGAGGAATAAGGGATGCTATTTATAGCAGGCATAAATACGATGAGAGTACACGTGTCAACAATTTGACGACCGAGGGGTCACCTCAATCGAGGTGGCACCGGCATATGCATGTGCATCGCATTAAATGCGGTGGTTGGACGTGACGCCGCATTAAATGCGGTGGTTGCTTGTCTCCAGAGGAAGCTTCATGTAGCGTAAACCCTTCGGCCAACGACATATGGCCGAAGGCTGATGAGTGGCCAAAGGCTAGGTTCATGCTGAGGGCTCCCAGTAGCCGAGGGCTACTGTTTTCTGCCGTTTTCTCCCAGTAGCTTTGTATGCTCAAATCTAGCTGTCCTGTGGAATTTGGAGCCCCCGACCAAGGAGGCCGAAGGCACCTGTGTGTGCACCACGGGCTTCTTAACACTTGGGCCGTTGTGTTTGGGCTTTGTGTGCTCATTAGGCTTGGTGGTCCTGTGTAGGAGAAGTAGGAGTCTATGGGTCGGGGGTCCCTGGGCCATATACTCCATCAGGAGTCCCCCACTCCTTTTGCCGAAAGGTACTTGAGGGAAAAGGAGTAATTGCGGTGATTGATTCCCTGCTTCGTTGGACGCCTTGATTGATTATTTGTTCTCTGCTGTTTGTCATCCTTGGTGCCTGTGAAATTTTGACAATTTGCTTCTTCCGAAGGGTGTACTAATAGTATGTACCTGTACCCGAGGGGTTTTGTTTTTTATGTTTACCCGGAAGCTACATGGCGTGCGGGATGAATTCGTGATCACAGGAAGGCCCACTCGCCGAACGTACTTAACCCGCACGCCTAGCAGGCAAATTTTTACAGAAAACCTTCGATAGACCTGCACGCCCAACGGACTTAACCCGCACGCCAAGCAGGCAACCCTGCAGTCCTAGTTCGCCGTGAATTGATCTGTTTTCTATTTAAAAAGTCCGTAAACCC